GGGCCCCAGAGCTGGACGCAGTACTCCAGGTGAGGTCTCAGGAGTGCGGAGTAGAGAGGCAGAATCATCTCCCTCGAACTGCTGGCTATGCTTCTTTTGATGCAATTGCACATTGCCAGCTCATGCCCAGCTTTTCATCTACCAGTACCCCCAAGTCCTTCTCCGCAGGGCTGCTCTCAATCTCTTCATCTCCCAGCCTGTATTGATAGCGGGGGTTGCCCCGTCCCAGGTGCAGGACCTTGCACTTGGCCTTGTTGAATCTCATGAGGTTCACACAGGCCCACCTCTCCACCTTGTCCAGGGTCCTTTGGATGACATCTCATCCTCCTGGTGTGTCAACCGCACCACTCAGCTTGGTGTCATCTGCAAACTTGCTGAGGGTGTGCTCGATGCCACTGTCTATGTCATTGATGAAGATGTTAAATAGCACCGGTCCCAGTATGGACCCCTGAGGGACTCTACTTGTCACCGGTCTCCATGTGGACATCGAGCCATTGACCACGACCCTCTGGATGCGACCACCCAACCAATTCCTTATCCATCGAACAGTCCAACCATCAAACCCATATCTCTCCAATTTAGAGAGAAGGATGTTGTGGGGGATTGTGTCGAAATTTCCCACTAAGTAGCTGCTCTGTCAGTCCCACAAGAGAAGTAAAATGCTTGTGTTCAACCAGATAGTCTCAGCTACATCATTTCCATGGTCTCTCTGTGTGAGTGTCATCTAGAGGCTTTAGTTTGGAGGACAAGAGACATCAGAAGACTGATCTCTGTTCTTGGTGCCAGAGTGCCTTCATATAATTAATTCACACACTATTAATTTGTACCCAGCCTCAAGTAGTTATTTACAAACTCCATCTGGAAAGTGAAGAGAGAATGGGCAATGTGAGTCTTCCAATATCAAAATTGTCACCTGAAGAGGCTATGGAAACTCTCAAGTGTCTGTCTCTCCACAGAGAAAGCTACACTGAGTATCTAGTTGATTCTAGATATCCAGATATCTAGTTAAAATAGTCAAATGTTCAAGCAGCTAAATTTGGGTGAGATGACTCCAGATTCTAAGTAATCTAAGGAGATGTCTGTTTTCCTTTTTTAAAACCTGAAAATGATTACAGCACTTCCTCAGTAAGTAAAATACTGGAGTCCTATCTACCATCTAGCTCAAAGATTCATTACACCCAGTTCCCTTACTACCAGATGGTACCCTAGTGCCTAGGCTATGGCGTGGTTCATCATGGGTTCTCTTCCATCTGTCTTAATGAGTTCTGCCATGGGGTGGAAACTAATGCAAGGATCGTGAGTGCTGAGAGGGACTCAGCCAGGGACTGTCCCTATCTGCATTGATGTTCTGTGCACATTGTGTTCAGTGTAAAATCTGTTATCTGCTGCTGGGGAAAAAAAGGTAAGCCACCAGGAAGAGATTTTGCATATCTCAGGTGAGCACCTACATTTGGGTACATGGAAGTCTTATATCTGGTGCTCTTGTGAATTAAGGAAGAGGAAATAAAATGAAGATTTTATGCGTTATGATTCTCCAGAAGCATTCATATTGTAACTGTATAACCCCAAATCTGAATTGCTTTTGGGTATTGTTTTAATCAGGTGTCCCACCAGCATTTAGGCCAAAGAGCATCTTGCCAATACAGATAGCACCTTCCTGATGGATTTACTAAAATTTCAATTTGCTTTTGGGCTGTGAGACTACTTGAAATACAAGCCAGCCAGCCATACTGAGCATTAGCAGTAAGTAGGCCCCAGAGACAAGTAATAAAAATGAATGTTTTTAGGCTGTACAGAAAAGGCATTTCAGGGAGCTGCATAAGAGCTTCTCACTTCACCTGTTGGATGTGGGCGGAAATCTTTGCAAAGATAAACTCAAAGAAGAACACATAAACACAAAATGAGATTTCTGCTGACCTGAATTTGAAGGTTAAGACTTCATCTGGCCAAATTTGACACTGAATAAACTCAAGTTAACTTAGCTTCACAGGAGCTTTTTGTCTTCCATGAAATTCAAGCTATATTAAGCTTATTGAAAATTGGATTAATTTACTTAAACCTACATGTCCACTGTCATTTTAGGTTCATTTGGGTTTCTTTTCTTGCCTGCATTTACTCAAGAAGGATGCAGGTCTATTGTAGGTGTTGTGTCACATCTGCCGTCAGTCTGCAGAAATCTTAGATAGAATAAAATCTACATTCAAGTAGCTGAACCCTGCACTCAGCCCCATAATCAAACACTTAACATTGCAGTTTCTACCATGTAGGCCTGTACACAAGATTGTGATGTCTAAGCTCCCATTTATAGTCTATGGAGGTTTGGTCAATATGGCCTGGAGAAGCTATTCAGCTGGTCAACATATAATGGGATTCAGGAGCCAAATACCATTTCATATACTCTAGGGTACCACAGACATCTTCACAACAATGGTATGGCATAAGACCTATGGCAGATCCTTCTGGAGTGATATCTGGAGTTGTGGTATTTTGGGGCATCTGAAATAGTCCTAGATGCCTATGTTTAGGCAGTTTAATTAAGCTCCTTACTCAGGAGACACCTGAATTGGAGACTTCTAAAATTAGATGCTTGAGTTTGGATGTCAATTACTTATGAGGACTCAGTTCATTATTTGCAAAGTTGTTTGTCATGGATAAAAAAATTGTGTTCAGTGTTTGGGAAGTTAACAGTTATTCACGCTGGGAAAGAAGTGTCCATTGACCCTCAGCAGGAACA